GAAGAATAGTTACTAGCAAAACTGGAATATGTATAACAAAAATCGCAAATACATACTAGTTGGAAGCAACTATTTGATATCTAAACCACAGATCCTCAAACAAAATAATAGTAAAATGTTTTACCAGTAACAATGGTACAATATGTGTCACCATTGGGACAGTGCAAAGCAAAACCAAAGCTGTAATTTAGTAGATAGCCTACACAAAAAAAATGGTGTAGGATTTACACCATTTTCACAAATAATTACAAAGAAATGGCAAGTAACACATTGAATTAAACAATTAACTTTTAAGTAGAAAGACTGAAATAGTATTCTCTTGCAAAAAGTACTCCAAAAATCTCCAAAAAAAATCATTTTTTTAAAGGTCTATCAGAACACATAAGCATCTAATGAATTGCTGAAAGTGAAGAAGGCAGTAGTCACTATTAGTTCTCGGTGGTTAAACAGAATAAAGGTTTAAAGGGCTTGCCACAGATGTGGTCAATGCCTCTCTCTCTGCTTGCATGCTTGTGTGTGTGTACTGGTGTACACCTAAATGTTTATAACGGTGATTAGAACAATACTGCAGAGACGCCCAAACACAAGCGACCCATCTTCCCGTTCTCCTCTAGAGCAAAACGCAACGTTGTGATGCTCTCCGAGAACGAGCCGTTATCCGTTAACAATGAAGAGCCACAGTCACAGTCACAGTGAATAAAACTTACCGCAGTCTTCACACAATATGCTCTCCACATCTTTCTTGAGGGTCTTCTCTGTGCTGTCCAGAGGAGCAAACGAGGCTTTGAATACTAAAGGCTCCTCCGTAGGGTCCATGAAAAAGATATATCTGTGGTGTTTCTCCACCGCCACGCACGAAGCCTCGGAGCCGAACTCCCCGACGGTGACGAGCTGCTCGCGCTCCAGCCCGCCGCTGTTCACCGGCCACACGTCCAGTACTTTGACATTCACACTGTAGGGCTCCACGGAGACGTTCTCGGGAAGCGAGCTCACCTCGCCTTCGATCACCACGGCCGATCGGTATGCCTGGTCCTGCAGCGAATCCAAACTCGGGGCGTAGCAGGCGAAGGAGACCCCGATGATGAGCATGGAGAAATGCACCGGATCAAGCCTCCTCATGCCGTCTGCTGTGGCTCAGGGGCGGCCGGCGGCGCTGCTGCAGTGCTCTCGGGGCAGAAGGTGCTGGGGGACTGAGTGCGAATGGGTTTGCGCAAGTGTCCATGCCATCTGCGTGTGCCGCTTTCCCCATGCACTTGGTGACGGGGAAACACCAGCCGCTGAGGAACCGGAATCAGCCCCGGTCACTGCTGGGCTGCTGCATTCTCCTTCAAAGCACAATCCCCAAACTCAGTAAGCATGCATGCATAAATGACGCTCCTTTGCTGCAAGACGCTCCTCTCGCACACACTCCCTCTCTCTCTATCTATCTCTCGCTCTCTCTCTCTCTAGCTAGCTATCTATCTATCCAGCCAATGGCATCATCACCATCATGAACATCGCGCGGACGGGCAGAAAGACGCCTCGTTCGTGCACACAAAAGCGGCGGTGATGCGAAAAATGTCCAAAAATGCGCTCCGCCGCGGAAACGACGCGCTGCTGTTCGGTCGGGCGATGCAACAAGCGCGCGCCCTCCGCTCGGCGGCTTTACGTGAGCAGATCTCAGCAGTCTGCTGGAAGTTCTGGCGCAAATGCACTAATGACACGGAAGCGTCCGACCGGCCAACCAGCCGTAGAAAGAAATCCCTCGAAAGCAAGCAGCCTACCGGCGTAAATGTGCGTAAATTGTGTTGATACGCCTCGCGACATCAACTAATAGAGAAACGGCAGTCGGGCCACCGCGGCAGACCGCTGACGCGATGACTAACGCTGCGAAAAGCAGCTGGAAATGCAATCAATGCCTTGTGAAAAGTGCGTTTGCCGTGATTTTCTACTCGAGAACAATCCGCATTCAGGTCACATTCACCATTTTGCCCCAAAAAGCGATCCGCCAAGCGCCAAGAAGACAGATACACAGCAAACCACCGACCATCCTTTCAGCCATATTTACCCCGGCAACAGGTCCTGCGGGTATTTGCCATTTACCCAGGGCTCTATAATGAGAGGAGGGGACCGGTCATTGCGCCGTCATGACAAGTCAAACTAAATGAACAGAATGATTCGCCACAGTCTTGAGGATTGTTTGGTGCACGGCTTTGGACTGGTGTTTTAACTTGAACATTGGGGTTACATCATGCGTAAATGCGTCGCGAGAGAATGAATGTGCCATTGCCGTCCTGTCCTAAGGCTGCTGTAGGGCGACATCTGCAGTCACAACGCGAGTGTGTAGCGCAATAGAGAAATGCGCTGCGAACACCTGTCTCGCTTCAGACTCAGGTCGATATTGTTTTCACGTTTGCTTTACTGTGTCAATGACGAATAAGAATATTCGAGATGATAAAAATCTAGTTAAAAACTCAGGCACCAAGTTTTTTTTTTTTCAATGTAATCTTTGTATTCACTTTGGATTTCTGAAAAAAGTTTATAGGCTTACCCTTTTCGTCAGAAAAATTATGAATGACGGTCATCACTAAAAAAGTACTGAAATACTCGATCTTGAACTACATTATTATTGTCAAAAATGTTTATTTTCGCAGTATTTTTATTTTTTATTATTAATGTTTTTAATATTTAATAATATCAATATTATTTATTTAATTGTATTTATTTTAAATACTTTAATCATAATTATTTAAAATAATATTCATTTTAATTAATATTTATTAATAATATTTATTATTTATCTTTAAGTGAATAAAACCAAGAATTTACTCGATTTGAGCTTAACAAAACGTGTCTTTTCATAAAAGGGTCAAATAAAAAATAAAAAAGCGTCTGAAAATTATCAAAATTACTTTTATACAATCTTGTTTAACAATATTATTAATATTTGAACATGTGGCATAACCACCCTTGCAGGAGCCATTGTTGTCTTGTGACAAGAAAATCATAAAACATAGAGAACCCTCATCATATAAAATATGTTTGAAATAATTGCTATTTATAAATTCAAAGTGGTGTAAACGATTTTAAAATGTATAGAACCGACATGAATTCAAATATTACATTTCTGAGAATGCGTTCACGTGTTTTCTATTAGAATGTTAAAATACGGCTTCTTTTTATCATGTCTTTATTATATCATTAATAAATGATATAATATATATATATATATATATATATATAATAACTTCTACTCTTGCTTTTAGGCGTCCTCAAAGCATTTAATGAGCAGCAGCCTCAGAATTCATTCACTCACTCATAATAAAGCTTGTTGACCGTCTCTACGGTGGGCGCGGCGCTGTCGCTGTCCGTGGTGCTGAACAGCAAATACATATGTGCGTCTATTAGTCCATATCATTACAATTACTAAGTCCTAGCATTTTGTCTGTGATAATGTAATTTTACAACTAATTTTACAGCGTATTATTGCCAATTACGCATACTTATACAAAAATAATGTAATAAGATAAATGCTAGAGAATTTGTGAAAATATCTAACAGCAATAAAACACCAACATGTTGACATTTATTAGCCTATTCTTTCGAGTTTCCCTTTCTCTGTTTCCACTTTCACACACATACAATTATTAAACACGTGCACACGAGTCATGGTAATATGAGAGATAATCTACACCAGTGATGGGCAAACTTGGCCCTTCCAGGCCACTTTCCTGCAGAGATTTGATCCAACCCTGATAAAACGCACCTGCCTGTAGCTTTCTAGTAGTTTTGATGATTAGCTGGTTCAGGTGTGTTTGATTAGAGTTGGAGCTAAACTCTGAAGGAAAGTGACCTGGAAGGGTCAAGTTTGCCCGCCCCTGATCTACACCTTGTGATGGACACAGACAAAAAGAAAGTAAAACAACAACAACAACAACAACAACTTCCAAAGAATGGCAAAAAAAAGATCCAAATGACTTAAGAAGTTTACTGCTTTGTGCGCAATCGTAACGCTGATATGACTTTTACCAACACACTCCTGATCTGAAGAATATCGCGGACTGCAGAAATAGAGACCCTCCACCAGACGGAGACTTCAAGATGAGCTAAAAAAAATTATAAAATAAAATAAATGCGCAACGCGTATAAGACCATTCTGTGTGAATGGATGTCAGTGGAGAGGTTGATACTTCAGTACGTTGAACAAACCGCTTATCTGTGGAAACATCCTGACACAAAATAAACGAGCAGCTAAACTTCGACATGAATCTACACCTGGAGTCTCCAACAAAAAAAAGAGACTGCAATTTTATGACAGCAAGGTTTATACATCGGAATCCACAAATGGTTACAGAATGTCATAAAACTTGTGCTTTGTAGTGACTCTTTGAAAATAGACCCTTTCCTATTAAAGGGATAGTTCACCCAAAAATGGAAATTCTGTCATCATTTACTCACCCTCATGTCGTTCCAAACCTGTATGAGTTGCTTTCTTATGTTGAACATAAAAGAAGATATTTTGAAAATTGCTGGTAATCAAACAGTTGGTGGTTGCCATTGACTTCCATAGTATTTTTTTTTCCTACTATGGAAGTCAATGGCAACCACCAACTGTTTAATTACCAGCAATCTTCAAAATATCTTCTTTTATGTTCAACATAAGAAACCAACTCATACATGTTTGGAACGACATGAGGGTGAGTAAATGATGACAGAATTTTCATTTTTGGGTGAACTATCCCTTTAAGTTTTTAATTATTTTATTACATTCCTTGTAAATTATACAGTCATTAATGTAATTAAAAATATTTTTGTTTTCAAAAAAGATGTTGATTTGAATCCTTTATATAGGCTAACTAAACATTCAATTGCTTTGAAAACAATACAATGGTGTTATAAGAATAATATAATACGTTTTAGTAAATTTCAGAATGTCATGTATAGTAACCCTCTAAGAATATTTTGTTTACTGTCTTTTTCCTTGGTTGTGTTCTTTGCTGCTTACCTGATCCAAGTTGACCGCTGAACGCGGAGGTTGTCGTCTCCACCTTCAGGAAGCGTCTCTGGCAGCAGATCTCGCGAGAGCTCCGCACCAGTCGCTTTTGCAGCAGGGCTGAGGGAGACGGAGAGAGAAGGTAAGCGGGGAGGCTGCATCATGGCGGACAGAGACAGTGGAAGTGAGCAAGGTGGATTCGCCACAGGCCCCGGCCCGATGCACCCGGGCGCCGCATCGCGGCTCCAGCACGACACGGAGGAGCTCGCCTCGAAGCGGGTGGACATTCAGAACAAACGCTTCTATCTGGACGTGAAGCAGAACGCCAAAGGCCGCTTTCTGAAGATAGCAGAGGTCGGGGCCGGGGGAAACAAGAGCCGCCTGACTCTCTCCATGTCCGTCGCCGTGGAGTTCCGCGACTACCTAGGAGACTTCATCGAACACTACGCCCAGCTGGGCCCCAGCAACCCTGACACGGTGCAGGACGAGCCCAGGAGGGCGCTTAAGAGCGAGTTCCTGGTGCGGGAGAATCGGAAGTACTACATGGATCTGAAGGAGAACCAGAGGGGGCGGTTTCTCCGGATCCGGCAGACCGTCAATCGCGGGCCCGGCATGGGAACCTCGCAAGGCCAGACCATCGCTCTTCCTGCACAGGGACTCATCGAGTTCCGCGACGCGTTGGCCAAACTCATCGACGACTTTGGCGTGGACGAGGACCCCGCGGAGCTGCCCGAGGGCACGTCGTTGACCGTGGACAACAAGCGCTTCTTCTTCGACGTGGGCTCCAACAAGTACGGCGTCTTCATGCGGGTCAGCGAGGTGAAGCCCACCTACCGCAACTCCATCACGGTGCCCTGCAAAGTCTGGTCCAAATTCGGCGCGACCTTCTGCAAGTACGCGGACGAGATGAAGAAGATCCAGGAGCGAAGCCGAGAGCGGAGGGAGCGCGAGATGCAACCGGAGGGCCTGCACGGGGACGACGGGGACGAGGACTAATGCATACCTGTGCGCACAGGACAAATGACATGATAATCAGACGTTACTGTAATGTGGGATCGATCTACACACACACACACAAAACCCTCACAGACTCAAACAGTTGCATCTCTTCACTCATCGCCGGAAGTTACCCACTTACCCACCATTTAACAGTAAGACGCTGCTATCGACAACATGATGTATGAACCGTGTCCAGGATGGTGCAGGAGTGTGTGCATATCCCTCTTTACCCACGTGTGTGACACATTCAAGCTCTTATGCACTGCAAAAAAATCCACTTGTTTTCCAGTACAAATATCTAAACATCCTGAAAACAATATATATTTATATATACAGTTTTAGTCAGACCACTCATGACACACAGCAAAGAATGTAAATACTAGAAATAAAAGAACATACCTAGTCAATGGTAAAATGACACGTAATATAAAAACAATACGATTCGATATGCTTTCTGAACACTTCAGCTCTGACACCTGTCAATCATGTTGCCAACTTGACAGCGGCCGCTTCAAGTGTAAAAACTGATGACCTAATGTTTTGTTTTTTTTTGCAGATTTTAAAATGTACTCTTAATTTTTAAAAAAAAGTACAAAGTGGCGTGAAAATGCTGTTCATATTCAGCATGCACACTGGGGTTTTTAATAACGAGAGCGTGCAAAGCGAGTGACGTCATGGTAGCTTGTTGCCTATTAGAGCATCTGACCCCACTCGAACTTGTACAGTTCTGTTTGTCAAGTAAATTATTTTAAGGATGCCGTGAATTTGACTGGAAAACAATGATGGACATTTTTTTGCAGTATAATACTATTTCCAAAGGTGCAAATTGAAAAAGAGGAAGAAATATATAATTAGTGCTCACTTTTGACTTCCAGCACAAAAGCTATTATTTAGGAACCGTTTGAACCAAAGGTTCAACATGCAAACGAACATCAGGAGTGAAGGAACAGTGATGCGGCAGTGCTGTGAATATTTTAACATGCACTATTGTTAGATTATTCAATTTATATAAATGGATGTCACCCCTTCTGGTTCGACTTAAAAGGTGCACTTGGTCATTTTTCATTATTTAAGCATTTTTTTCGCCTGGTTGCATCATGGGGTCCACCATGTTGAGATCACATGACCAGCCAAATTATCAACATAAACTCAATGTTATTAGCCACTTTCATTTGCAGAATACATTTATCATGGCAAAAGAAGCTTCATGTCTAACATAAACCCAAAATGACCGAGTGCACCTTGAAATGCATATGAGGAGATCTAGATATGTTTACTCGTTTGCCTTTTAAACTCTATACACAAAGCAAATGAGATTGTTTGTTTGCACGCGTCATGCAATGTGTGCTTCGGTAGCCGCACAGCGAAGGCATTGCTAAAACAACCGGTTGACGTTTGTTCCTGTTAAATACGAACCCTGTTGCACCGTTGCCCACTGACATTTGGACAGACGTCTCATTGAAGTGCTAACGTAGATATACAAACTATGATTTTGTGAATCAGATGTACTTAGATCCTTATGAAATTGCCCACGTTTTCTGTGGGAATTTTTCTTTATTTCGTTTTTGGGGACGGGGTGGGAGGGGGGCAGGTACTCAAAAAGGGGCTGTCCACTAGTGCGAGTTGTGTTAATACCTGCGCGGAGCATCCTCTACAATAGTGGTTCTCAACCCGCGGCCCGTCACGAATTGAAATGCGGCCCACCATGCTGAACAGAATAAAAAATATATATTTTCAGTTTTACAATTCATTTTAGTTTTTACATTAATTTAAAAATGTACTAAATAAATATAAGCTATAGCCTAATGTTTTTATGTAAAATAATTTTGTTTTTCATATATTATTTTCAGACATGAGCAGTACTCACATAGCCTAATTAACGTTATGCATTTAAAGTAACGGCCAAGCGGCAGTTTGTATTGCTGACGTAATATGTAAATGATATGCGTGCGGCCCGCGAGACTTGCACTTGGACCATAGTGCGCCCGGTGGAAAAAAAGGTTGAGAACCACTGCTCTACAACGTAAAAAACAACTCTGGTGCCTTATATTCTCCACAGGTTTACATGCTTTACGTGTCCGATCATTTTCTTTCCGATCGCTGTTTGTCTTTCTTTGTCGTTGGGGGTCACAACAGCGTAGTTGCTGTACCACTCGTGGAGCTTCTTCGATGACTTCGACAAGCCAATCAAAGAAAGGCGCGTGGGGCTCTCGGCCCTCCACGTTGCTGGGGAAAGAACGATGATGTCATAATCAAACAGTGCTGACGTAAACATGGATGTGCTGCGTTCACGTCATATCAGAATTACTTTGGTTCTCCGTGGCGGTGCTCAAAAGCGACATCGATCCATGTGCGCTTTTGTCGTTGATGCCAGTCTTTGTGATTTTTTTTTAATTATGACAAAGACATAAATTTTTTTTTTTGCTTGTCAAAATTTCTGTAGTTCTGGCGTGACGTGAACGCAGCAGTAGTCACCTAAAGACGGTGGAGGTCTGCTCCTCATGCTCCGTGTAAAAACATATAAATTAATTTAAAAAGTAACAGGTAAAAAAAAAAAAAAGCGTGTTAAAAAAAAAAAACCCTGCGTCATAAGTTTATACGTACGTTTCTCGCTACAGCCCAGCGTTATGCTAATGTAGGCCTATATTAGTAGACTTTTGGCCGAGGCAGTAGCCTGTATGATTTTTTTTTTGTATGGTGCTAATATCCCCGCTCGTGGGATTTTTTCTGCCGGTCTTATCAGTTGCTGAATTCGTTTGTTGTCAACCTCGTCACATCGCACCTTGAGATTTTACTTTTCTCACTAAAGTTACAGTGCTAACATTTTAGTAGCTTGTGCAATAGGCTGCGTGCCAATGGCGGCGTTGCCCCAAATTCAGTCCCGCCGCAGGTTCATGACCCCCAAAGCAAAACTATTTCCTGAAAGATCTTATAATAGGTACTCTGTTCAATGCCTGATTGGAAATCCTACAAAATCGCTGAATGATGTTGTGATAACTATGAAAAGATGACACATATCTTTCACATATGTAACCGAAGCTACAAATGGTAAAATTAAACATTTGTCATTCTTTTTTTGTTAATTAAATTGTATAATCCAGCTGATTAGAACGTTAACTCAACTTCAACACTACAAAAGCATTACCAGAAATGCTCAATTGAGTAGAAACAATAATGCAATGTTTTGAACAGGCATTACAGAAGGCTGCCTCTTGGGGTCCAAGGGGAATCAGATTATGCGGGATGATTGAATGTTGCGCATCATCGGCATTCTACATGTGTGGATACTTGTCCCCTGCAACGACAAAAATGTATGCACGAGGCTCGCTCTAATTGAAACATTTTTCTGCATATTAAACTAACCTTTTTGACTGCCCAAGTCAAAGTTGAGGGTTTATTCTAGTAACATAACCGGTCACCACAGAGGCCGTCTGAAAGCACCTGCGTATACGGCGGCAAATCTGCTCTCCGCCAATCAGACACAATCCTGTGTGACCTAAAAATATAGTTATGTAGTCACTTCAAAAGCTTCTTGGTGGTTTGATACTCGGTTGCTAATATATATGTTTTGTTTTTTGTTTTTTTAGCCAATGTTTAATGCGCGATGCTTCAGTCAGAGATATTCATAACTATTTATTTGATAAAATATCTTGTGAATGTTGTTAGCAAAAAAGATAAAGACGTTTTTTCTCAGTCCCTCTCTCGACATAAGCCAGCTCACTAGTATTGCAGGTAAAAGCCTGTTGCTGTCAGACCCGAACATCACAAATACTCAGATATGTGGGGTTTTGTAAAAACGAGACCTTCATATCTACTGAAGCCACCAGCCTACGGACAGTTTGGGGGTTTCTAGCCACATACCCCCATGCTAAAGGCCCATTTCGTGCTAAGCACATGAGGAAGTCTATAGGGGATCAAGGCTGACATTATTCCTGCAGAGCGTTTGGTCTCTTGTTTACCACTGCACAATATTAAAGCATACATACGCACTTTGTCTCGCTCGATTTGCCCTCACATCTCGTCAAGACTGAATCTGAAACAGCATGCTTCTCTTGTAGGGACTATTTTAGCTGTTTGTACACTGTTATATTTCTTTTCCTCTCGAGACCGGTAAGCAAATCTTTTTCCTGTCACTGCCCAGATCCGATTACGAAAACTGTTCGATGTGTGCCACTGTGCGAAATCTAAACTGGAAGTAACATTTAAGGGTGTTTTCTAGTGATACAAAAACACACCCTCGAAGCCCTCGATCGAATACGCACATGTTTTAAGTCAATCGTAAAGGTGCTATTGGGTATTAAATGGCTCAATCCTGTCCGGGTGGCATCGTTCAGCCGAGACTTTCTCATTTAATAGTGTTCGAGCTCTCCACCAGCAAAGACCAGTATTGGTTTGATGCACAACAGCCTGTGGGGACAAAAAAAAATGAGATGGTACTCCGACTCCATGCTGGACTGGAATAGCAATTTCAGTCTTTTCTCCAATTCCAGGTGCTGATTCGAAGCATCACATGTCCTTAACGAGCAGAACAGAACTAATGGAGCTGCACAGACACCTTAAAGCCCTCACGCATCTGCGGTTTCCAATACGAAGAGCGAAGCGCAACCTTTTAACTTGATCTATGTGAGAATCTCTTGAAGCGTGTGTGTGTGTGTGTGCCATTATACGTCCCCTTCCCTTTTAAACCACGGCCAGTCACCAACTTGGATTAGTTCTCATACTTCACGTTCCTTCGGTCTCACAAGCTCAAGGCTTTGACCTGCTTAGCATGTATCTGTGAGCATTTTACGTATTAAGCAGACTGTCTGGGAGGGGTCCTGCATCGAGGGTCAGTGCACAAGGAGGGTATTCACATCCCACCAACCATTTCCTTTTTATTCCCTATCAAATGTGTTGTACTTAAAAAATATATATATGACCTGTGATGTGTGTGTATATATGGTTTGTTACATATGATGCTCCTCTTTATTAAAAACGATAGCATATATATATATATAAAAAATATAAAGATGTATATGATTCCTATATATTTGTTCCTATATGCATAGGAAATATATATAGGAAAAAGCATATTGCTGTTTTTTTCCCCCTTTGTATTTTATACTTACAGAAAGCATTGAATCAAATGGATAAAATACTTGCACTTTAAATATATAAAGAAAATAAAAAAAATCAGCATATTATTTTTGATAGGTGACCTCACATTCAAAGATTCTATAATTACTTTCCAGGCTTTGTGACAATTGCTGTTTGGCAGAAATCTATGAAGTTCTTCTACATATTGAAGTCTATTTTGTCTGTGTTACAGAAGGTTTACTAAAGTAAATTGCATGATGACTAAGTAGTGCACCAACTGTTATTTTCTTTAGTTGGTTAAAAATGTCTAATGAAAAAATACTGTGATTATTCTCATGTGTGTACCCATGTTAAACTTAAGTCATACATTCGAAGGTATTCTGTTCAGTCTTTCCTATAACATGAATATGGTGCTTAAATTGCTTAGAAATCCCATTGTGTTTCACTTTTCTTCATTGCCACAACGTTCCTCCTCCTCTGCATCCTCTGTTTGTTCCCTTGGCTGTTTGCGTGTTCTCACAACTTTATTCAGATTTACGTTTCTTGGTAACAAGTGTGTTTTTGTACAGGTACGTATGTTGTTTTTGAGTTGGAAAGCCTTTGTGTCTGAAAATGACTAATTGCAATAAATCATCCATTCCTCCATGGCAATGATTGTTTTTTGTGTTGTTGAATTAGCTCAGTTCCAGTGGCATTTTAAAGGAATAGATGACCCAAAAATTACAATTCTGTCATTAAAGTTATTTGGACCCCATTGAATTATCTTTTGTGAACCACAAAAAGTCATACAGGTTTGAAACCACACGAGGGTGAGTTAATGCTGACAATTTTCATTTTTGGGTTAATTATCCATTCAAAGTGGCAAGCTAGTACAGAACATGCAAACATGAAACTAATAGTTCTCTAAAAATTCAAATTGCTTTAAAATGACCTATTTTAACCCATGTGTTGTCAATTGAAACAGGAATTTCATGCAGGACAGAACAATCTTTTTCTATTGTTTATGTCAGTTGAGAACCATGAGACATGCTTCTTCATATTGCAATGTTTAGTTTGCTTAGAATAAGCTACAGCATCTAGCTTTCAAATGACTTCAGTATTAACAGAGACTAAAAGCCACAAAACTATTATTTGGACTTCACTGGAAATTAAAGAGCTTCCCAACAAACTTTAAATACTGTAAAACTACTGAAAGCCATCAATACCAATGTTCTCACTTTAGGTTCTAAAGTCTATTCCAGGCAATGTACTTGGGATAGAATTAGAAAACACTTGTATAATATGCAAATGGTTGGCTACAAAGGTTGTAAATGTGTTATCAGGTCTGGCCTACACCTGAGGCTACATTTTCTAGAAATATCGGAAATTGAAATTATCAGGATAAATCTTCACAAAGCACACATTTCATGAACTGTGAAGCCTAAAAACAATCAGCAGAAGAAAAAAAAAAAAACTGAAGTTAGGCTATGAATGAACTATACCACTAAGCTTCTGACGACTCTTTCGAACTTTATTTAAAATAAAGATTGTGAGTAGATGAGTTCACCTGTTTATGATGTATGATTATGTTTAATGTCGCCAACAACCTCTGTAGTCCTATTTA